AGGACACTTAAGCGTGTGGAGGAGTCGGGGATCTAATCAGAGGCCTTGTGATTAGTGGACAAGCGGCTCCAACAGCTGAGCCACGGCGCCCACGAGGCCATCCACGGTGCTAATGGTGGTGAAACTGTCCGGGGATCCCAGAACCGCAATTACAAGATGCTGCTAAGTGATGCTGTGGACCCCCTCCTCTGCTCCAATAGATGGCTTCCTTTACTCTCTCTAACCATCATCCTCTCTGTCCAGGACGTCGCTGTAGCAGCAGCTGGACTGATGAGTCCTCTGCAGCAGTGTTTCATTTGTCAGGAACGAAGCTCACCAGCGTGATCAGAAGAACACTGACACAGGATTATCTTCAGAAGCTATCAGACGAATGGTACAAAACGGCTCATTTAGTCCACTTCTGGAAACAGTTTGTTCTTTATTTCCCAACGTGAGCGCTGGTTAATAGTGACAGTGATGGTAACAGGAACACCTCCATCAGTGAACCTGTAAAGCTAAAGCTGGATGCGACGCAGGGCCAGTCTACAGCATAACCTCAGAAATACTGATGGAGCCAATAAACAGCAGTTTGTAATTTATCACTATTATCATTTAACACAAAGTTGAACAAAAGTTTCAACACCAACATCCCATAATGCAGTTTAAAAAGTAAATAAATGGCCGTACGGCTGTGGATCACAGACGATGGATCACTTCTGTCGGTGACAGGTGACAGGTAACAGGTAACAGGTAACAGGTAACAGGTGACAGGTAACAGGTGACAGGTAACAGGTAACAGGTATGTACGGAGGGTTCCTGAGGCGTTACTGTTCAAACTCATCATCAGTGTATAAGCAGCATTTTATGTTTGTTGAGCTGGAGCTTGTTTTAATTACTTTGTACTAATTAATTGATGTCAGGTGGCTCCCCACCTATAGCGGCGGGATGCCCTCCACTGGGTCACAGAATAACCCCAGAAGGTTATGAGGCGATTAATTAGGGAAGAAAAAAGATCAGCAACCCAGAGTTGTATCCATCATCAGGACGCTGCTGACTCTGTTTTATTGTTTTATTGTTTTATGAGGTATGGGATGGTTTTTAGGTGAACGTTGTAGATGTCAGGCTCTGTGCTGGAGATGTGAACCTCACAGATACTTGGTGCATGATGAGGGGAAGCAGCCAGTCCCTTCACTTCACTGCATCTGTCTGCTGTTTAAATGTGAAAGTTCAGAACGAGCACATGCAGCCGTCACAGCAGAGAACAAAGAGGAATGAAGAGCCTCAAAACTGTCTTAATACAGATCCTGAGGAGACGTAGGATACTGAACCCTCTGTGGCAGGAATTCATGTTTTGGGGGAAATCATATTTATCATCAGCTCTCCAGGAGTGTTGTTCTCCACAACGGGAGCTGAAGCATCTGCTTTTATAGTTTGCATTGCAGCTTATACATGAAGTCTCATAAATGTACTGCAGGTAGCAAGCTGCCAGGCTTTTGTAAATCCAACAACACGAGCTTGTAATGTGCTTATGATTACATAGGTTGTTGCAGAGCTGCACGCTCTCGCCTACTAGTGGAGAACAATGCATCTGCCTTAAAGTACACTCCTAAAAGAAAGTTGAAATAAAACAAAAATACAAACAAAACATTGAGCAGACGCCTCCTTAGAGCACCTCTCCAGCCCCAGACAAGAAGTCAAACTCACCACAGCTCCTCACTTCATCGCACACATCTTGTTATATTAAGATATTTATTAGAAATAACTGAAGGTGGTGGTGTAAACTCCAAAAAGGTGTTTCACTGCCTGAGGGAGACATGATGCCACCTCCAGGTATATTCCCCTGTAGCTTATTTATGATGCACTTGTGAATATTGTCCCTTTGGTCCAATGCTCAGCTCAGCGATGGGATGACTGGTTTCCTGTTTGTAGCAGTTAATATACTTGTTAGAGTGCTGCTGACTGAGCTGAACGGTAGATGGTGAACGGTCTCAAAGTGCTTCACAGTGTTCCTCATTCACCCATTCACACACATTCATACACCACAGAGCTGCCATGCAAGCTGCTGCTGCCATCAGGAGCAACTTCAGCTTCAGTGTCTTGCCCAAGGATGCTTCCACCGTGGATCAGGGGATCGAACCGGCAACCTTACGATCAGAGGACTACCTCTGATCTTACTCTACCTGTAACTTTGGCCCTATAAAGAAAAACAACCAGGTGGCAGCTACACATGCTGTAACATGCTGAACTACGCTCCACCTGCTAGCATCCGTAGGTTAGACCGCTGACGTCTGAACTGCACCCACCGGACATTCAGTTTGTTCTGGTCTCTCCCGTGTTGTGTTTTCTGTCTGCAGTGTGCTTCAGCGTTTGGTTGTGTCTTCTCATAATTAAGCTTTTTCTTTCCTTTTTTCCCTGAATGTCAAACTGTTGAAGCTGTTTTCTCAGCTTCCTGAGCCTCAGGGCCACCGTACATTACTGTTTCTACTCATTTTAAATGTGCATTGAGCAGCAAATAGGATTCTTACAGGTCCTTTGATTCACTGTTTTGCATTTTTTAAATTAAACTTAAAGCTGAGTTAAGCAGTTTTTAAAAAATCATTTCATAAAATTTCATGTGAACATCACAGGATAGTGTTAAAAAAGAAAAAAAAGATGTCTGACAGGAAGATGGACCTCTGCTCTTCCTCTTGGCTGCGTTTTCAGGTTTTAGGAAACGTAGCCTGTGACAGAGGATTTTAAACCAGTTACAGCTTTGATCCGGTTAGTGAGAAAGTATAAAAGCAGCAGACTCCAGATCAGGATCCAGATGTGGTGGTGCAGAGGTTTAAGCTGAAGTCCTCATGCAGACCCTCACCAGCCCAAAGTCTGCATCCACTCAGACCACAATCACAGGAGTCACATGTATTGCAGCAGTATGTCTGTAGCACACAGACCTGCTGCACACCAAGTCCTCTGAGTGGACATCAGGCGGACGAGAAAGCAGCGTTTATATCAGAGCAGCATGTTTGTGGTGTTTGTGTCTGTCGTCATGAAGCAGAATCAGGGCTTCAGACAGAGAGGTTGGTGTCTGAATCCCAGCAGAAGCCACAGATGAATGTTGTTTTTTGGCTCGATGTGTGGGTGATGTGAGGGGCTTCAGATCAAGAGGAGAGCAAAATATATCCAGCTTCTGTTTGTTGCAGCACTTTGTCAAAAAGCAGCTTTGCTTTAGTGGAAGGAAACGGGCCAGAGGAGCCGAGACTAGCCCCAGATGACCTCAGTCATGTGAGTCAGTATGAAACAGGTGATAGTGTGACTGTCCTCTGTCTCTTTTTTTGGTTTTGTTGTTTTGCAGATCTAAAATATACGTGTGGTCCAGTAGGGGGCGCTCCAGTACAACTAAACTACCATGAGAGCATCAGCTTCCCTTCACTCAGTAATAAGCTTCATACTGAAGCACTGCTGCACTTTATAAGATAATATTCACACATTTTAGGAGCTACAGCAGCTGTCTCAATAGAGACACTGAATTATGCATATACACAATAAAAGGCATGTTTGATTCAAGCTTTGACTTTAAACCACCATCCAGAGCGGGCGCAGGTGTAATAAAACAGTTCAGTTGCATCATTTAGGCCTAAAGTGAGCCTCTGAGTCTCCAGTTTACTCCTCTTTGATTTAAAATTCTGTTGGATCCAGTAGTTTGTGGACATGTGTGCAGCCAGCGGTGAGTTCACTGAAGGTCCCCCATGCTGAGAGGCCACGACGGAGCTGAACAGAGGATTTGTTTAAGAAAAATCATCAGCTGGTTGATATATTTTACATCATAGAGCCCCTCCCAAGAAAAGCCAGAGCTAGAAGCCACTCTGTGATGTACAGACTGGCTCACTGCCTTCATTTATGTCACAGCTGAACATCATCTCTGAGGTTTGGAGCGTTGAGCGGCTGAAACAGCACAGCGGAGACTTTTAAACCCTGGGATGGACGTTTTCTGATTCTGAATCACTAAAAAAAAATAAAAAGAAAAGAAAGAAAAGGATAAATGAACTGATCATTAGAAAGAAACAGAAGCAGCCTGAGCACAGAGGGCCTGAACATTACCTCATAGGTTACAGCAGCTCCTGCAATCACACGGAGAACCTCAGTGACCGCTGGCTCCACCAGGGGGCGCTGCAGCACAGACAGACGGAGCTGCTTTGTTGTAGCTGAGTGTTGGAGGTGCTTCTTGTTTATTTATCACATCAGGTCCACTTGTGCTGATCCATGAGCTTTAAATAAAACCCGTCCACATGACGCAGGTGAATAATTCAGTTTCCTGTTTATTCTGATGAACTGAATGAAAACAACAACATCACGTGTTCAGAACGCTTTACGGCTGCTGCTCTTATTTAGTTGTTGTTGTTTTAAACATTAGTTTCATGATGCATTTGATCTGATCTGCTTCTGTGCAAGTAAACCACAAACTAACTGGTCTGAGTTTGATCCGCCTGGTTCTGCTGTCTGGACCCGACCAGGCTGGTATCACACCAGAGCTGTGTTGTGGCTGTTTGTGTTTTAATTCTGTTGTTGTTTACAGGCTGCCATCACCTGCTCAGGTAGAGCAAGGTGTTCCTCAGACATGCAGGAAGCATCGGGGTGCAGGTTCCTCATGCGTTCACAGGGAAGCAGCAGCAGCAGCAGCAACAACCGGCCTCTTTTGTTCCGAGAGCAGAATCACTGAGTGTGTGTGTGTGTGTGTGTGTGTGTGTGTGTGTGTGTGTGTGTGTGTGTGAGAGAGAGAGAGAGAGAGAGAGAGGGAGGGAGGGAGGGAGGGAGGGAGAGCGAGGTGAGAGAGGGGAGGCAGTCTTTGGGATACAGCGGAGTGAGGAGGAGAGAGAGTGGGATGCTGACAGACTCCTGATAGATGGTTAAAATGGCGAAAGCTGGTTCGAGCCCAGAGAGCCACCGAACTGTCGCCCTGTAGGTCGGAACATGTAGGAGCTGGAGGAGAAGAAGCTGGATATCTGCGTGTTCATCTCCTGTCCCCCTCCTTTTTTTTTTTTCCTGCTCTTGCTGAAGCAGCGCTGTCTCTTCTTCACCTCACGTTGTTCTCTATCGGAACCAAGCGCTGGACGGATTTCTGGGTTTTTTAAATGGCATCCACAAGGCGCCGCCGCCTTGTTCCGTGCTTTTTGGGAATACTCCTGAATGCTTTAATCGGTAAGTGGCGTTTATGTTGTTACCGGGATCGGAGCGGAGGAGCCGCCGGTGCTGGTGGAGGCTTTGTGGAGGTCCAGGCTGCCCGCAGCTCTCCGGAGCGCGGTGCGTGCTGCAGGCAGCGGCCACACCGGCCACTAACCCTGAACTTGGCCCCCTGCCTCTCCGGTGTGCTACCCTTTAAAGACCGGGCCGGATCTCTGCGCACTGCCTGCAGAGCTACACGCTCCTCGTTCAGAGTTCCAGCTCGTGTTTTGTGTAGAAAGTTGACGCGAACACTTCCAAATGCGCACCAAGTTCACATCCAAATAGCGCAGCAGCCCTCCCTCATGGGCGGCAGGCAGCGCTGTGATCATACATGGAAACCACGTGCAGTGGAGGCAGCAGCGGTTCTGGACTGTTGTCCAACTGTTTTGATAAGATCCCGATTAGAAGAATGTGAAGAATGCTCTGCTGAAGGCTGCTGCTGGAGGACTGAGTGTTCAGCGCTGCAGGAGCTGCGAATTTGTGCAGAAATGAAACGCATATTTATAGAAGCATCCAGGTCCGAACTCCTCAAACTGACTCCTTAAACGTGACTGAGATGGAGTTGGGTTTCACAGTCTGGAGCAGATGGAGGTCTGTGGCTGGTCAGAGCCTCCAGAGCTCCAGCGCCCTGTGGCTGGCTGCTGACTGCCCTGAGAACAGATGAACAGAGCGGGCTTATTGCCTGCTGGGGAGAATATTTGTACAGATTAAATGTCAAGACTGTCTCTCTCCTCCTTTTCACAATTTCTTTTACATCCCTTTGTCCACAGTGACAGACAGTTTCTCTCTCTATGTGGGGCCCCTTAATTCAAAGGCAGGAGAGAGTATTGAGTATTTGCAAAGCATACCACACAGGGACCCACAAAGGCCCCACTGGATCAGAAAGGCTGGTCCACAGAGCTCCATAACAGGTTCAGTCAGAGGAGTGGGAACGAAAAACAGCATCCACAACACTGCTCGGTATTTTTTAAATTCCCATCTACCCCATTAAAGACACGGAGCTCTTTCAAGTGCTTGTCGGCATCAGATATTAAATTGAGTTGAGATAAAGGTGCTTTTTATGACATTTTAAGCAGCGCTGATAAGAGCCGAAGAAGCATTAAGATGAGTATCTGCGTTACATCTCCCGCCGACCAGAGAGCTCAAAGTCTGAGCCAAAACGCAGGAGATCATTCAGGAGATCTCAGGATAAGAAAACAGAAGTTTATCAGAGGGTAATAGTTTGCTTTGAACTCATCGTCTTGTCAATGTGAAGCTGAAGCATGAAAGAGAAAAGAGCCGAGGACTTTCACTGCTGCTCAGCTTTCTGCCTACGAAGAGGTTTCATTTATGTGAAAGTTTAATTGCTGCATGAGGATTAAGACTGTTGGGATCTAAGATCTGAACTGTGCAACAGCTCCCCTGCTTCCATCCCAACTCGGTGATGGTTTCTCAGCGTGCTTGTGTTGCCTTTCTGCTGCTGTAGCTTCTGTACAGCAGTAAATACCAGAACACTTTAAACTGCATTCTCATTAATGAGCATGGGCATTAAGGTAGCCAGAAAACAGCAGTATTGATTAATAATTTATCAAGCGGTACCCTATAGGAGGGAATGCAAGTATCGATGATGCATGCATAATCCTCCCCCTGGAAACACAACAAACGTCGCTTTTTAGCCAGAAATGATAGGCTTTATAAAAAAAGGAAGAAAAAAGAAAAGAACGTGAGCTGCTCTGTGTTTGCCCGTTTTAATGACTCATTTATACGCAGGGCTCTCTGCTGTTTGCTCTTACACTTGATCAAAGTGCAAATATAGGACTTTTGCTGAGCGACCGTCTTAAAGGAACACTCACATTGTTCACATTATGTCTCTTCCTATATAATGCTCACACTCAACAAAGGCTACATGCATCGTTTGCTTTGAAGTGGAAATGCAGCTTCAGCTGTTCACCTGCAGCCCGGTGCAGGTAGAAATGAGCAGATTAACCCACGAGTCCTGTCCATACGCAGAACAATGTCAGACATTTTAAACAAAGCCAGCATAATTCTGTGCACATATTTCGTTAGTTTTTAAAAGTCTGTCGGTCATTGTTGTAGTCGTGAATCAGCCAAAGAGCTGCAACAGGAACCTGAGAAAACAAGTGATAAAGCATTAAAAGCTGCTTTAGCTGTGTGATTTCATCCTCTTCCTATGTCAGTGCATCTTATTGTCCCTCCAGGACTGTACTCAGCTCCAAAGCATTACTGTTATAATGCTACCGTGTGATATGATGCAGAGGACTTGTGTCAGTAGCCCATTACATCCTCACCCTGCCGCCCCCAACAAGCCTGTACTGTGTCCTAAGCTCACTTAGCTCTGTCATTGGTGCTTGTGCCTGCTAACTACATCTGTCTGCCCAAAGCTGGTGTGTCATCCCCAGTTTACTGTTGCAGCAGTAAACCTTTGTGCCAGCTCGCCACACTTATCTGTCAATAGTTAGTAAGCCAGAGCATGAGCCACACTTAGCCGACACTCGGCTCTGGTCTTACGGGGTAATCCTACCAGCTAGTGTCTGTTTCCTCTGCGTGAAACCAGCATGGAGATGTGTATGCGTCCGTCCGTCTGTCTCCTTATCTAACCATGAAAATCCACGCCTGGACAGAGTCGTGTCTGTGAACATGTGTTGTCCGTGGATAGGCGTGTTCTGTTGGCACCGCGTCCTACAGCTGTGCTCTGCCTCTGCAGCTCCCTGGATGCTCAGCATTCACACATCACCTCAACCTGAAGCTCTGAATTGCATTAACCAGTCAATCTGGCGACATGCTTTATTCATTAGGAAAGAAAAAGGCCAAGAACTTCACATTGGTGCAGCTAATGGAAGCAACTCTGATTACTTGAACACAAAATCATTAAAGTTGTTTATTCCACTCCTAATCAATGACACCCATTGAGCACTGAACTGTTATTATCCTGTTTGCTGCAAGGCTTGATAACATTGACTGATGTCATTTGTCAGCTCTGAAGGCTGAAAACAAAAAGCCTTCGGTTTGCTTCAGTCTGTCTGCATCAGGGACGGTTGAGTGTGAAGCTCTTTGGGTTTTACATCTTCAGCTATTAGAGAGGAATTCTGTTTGCTGTGGGATTCACTGAGAATTATGCATGACTGGGACAAAACATGGGCTTCGACTCGTTCGATGTGTGGCTGCTGCCGTGGTCTCTGCTGGATCAAAGCAGCCTGAGCCCAGTGGCCGGCGTCCCTCTGGAGCAGCTCAGGCAGCGGGTTCACCGTCTGCCAGCTAAGGGTTAAATATTTCTCCAACACCACCCCCTTGTTTTTCACAAGTGGTAGCACTGATGTGTCTCTGGTCCCATGGCCGTTTTACTTACCGTGCTCGTGGAGTGTAAAAAGGAGAGGAGGGGCCACGTGAGGAGAGGATCCAGGGCAGGAGGAAACGTTTCTCTGCATTAGGCTTCATATGTGATCTTCATGCTGGAGTGTGTCAGTGAATTCCTGCTCTGTTCCTAAGGGGGGAAGAATTTCTCTCCTGGAATTTGAGGGATGAAGCCGGAGGTTCTCTGTTTTGACCCCTGTGCTTTGCCCCCCTCCGCTGCCCTCCCCGAGCCCCCTCCCACCAGATTCCAGGCCCTGGGGCAGAGACTGGTAGTGCTTAGTCCATCAGCAGCTGAAACATGATACCGAGAGCGCTCGCTAAGCTCCTCTTTTATAGTCCCAAGTCAGGTCAGGCTGTTTACATCCTTTATTTATTGTTCTCCCGCTTCCCCCCTCTTACCCTCAGAAGCCACAAATGCTGAAAATCAGATCTCCTCACACCGCGATGGCGAGCATCACTGCTAATAAATACAACCTTTTGGGAGGTTTAAGTGTCGCTTCGTGTTAGCGGGTGAAAAAGGAAAAAGAGAAGATCGTGGTGTCAAAGTTGCAAACGGCGTCTAACAGGTACAGCCCATACAAGGACACGCGTGTTTGTAGTGCAGCAGAACACATGCTCTGGCTGCGCTGGTCTGGAGACGATGCATTCCCTTGTGACTGTAGCCTGGAGGAAGCTCTGTCAAGGCTTTTTATTCATGAGGTGCAAGGCCTGGTGAGCAGCGATCAGGACACAACACAAGGAGCTTTATTCCTGTTTGTTTCGGTTGTTGATGTAGAAATTATTACTGTAATGGCAGCAGCTGCAGCAGGTTGTGACCCTGGAGGGTAAAAAACAGGTATTGAAATGAGTAAATGGTTAAGTACATGTAGGGATCACGACTTTGTCAGAAATGAAAAGAAAAAGACCAGCAGCGTACCTAATACTTTCTAAAGACTGAATGGTTTTCACCTTCTGATTCCCTGAACCGCAGAGCCGAGGCTGCGCTGTAACTTATGCAGAGCTCTGCACCAAGAGCACACACAGGATCACATCACTCCTCTGTTAGCGTCGCTCACGTCCGCCTTCACTTGGTCTTAAGATGTGACGATGAGAGCGCGGTATCGTGAAGCCGAAGCCTGGAAAGTGCTGCACATGGCTGCCTCTGTGGCTTAGAGGAGGTAATCAGTGTGACACAGTGACAGCGGCTGTTTGCCGTCCCCGCTGCATAAACTTAACGTGATGCTTCAGAGTGCTGCTATGCTAAATACTACGAGATGTCTCAGGAGAGGAGGGCGTACTGTAGTATGTAAATGTACTTACACACTGATCTATACAGTTGTCTTCATAGAGCTATTCTTGGGGTATTTTATGTCACTGGAGACAGATGGCGGGAAATGAAGAGATGGAGAGATGGTCCCTCGTCGGACTCAAACCGAGGATGTAGTCATTTCTGTTCAGCGTGTGGACAATCAGGGCGCCTCTTTATGGCTGTTTTTCCACAAACAGTCTAAACTCACGTTTGGTGTTTTATCCCAGACGTGCTGATCGAATGATCCTGAAGAAACGTTCTTTCATCTTGCCTGTACTGCTGCGTCTGTACAGGCAAGATGACAATACACCTGATTTGATTTGATTTGATTTGATTTGATTTGATTTGATTTGATTTGAACTCTGAGTCCACTCGTGAGCTTTTTCTTTTTCGGGGTTCCACCGTGACAACCGATCAAACTCCACCTGCTGAGGAAAACTCTCGTTTCCACTGTTGGCCGTGTCGTCACACGTGTGTGTTTGTGTGTTTGTGTCTCTTCAGGTGTGATGTGCGAAGCTGAGCTCTCCTTCACCCTGGAGCCCAGCGACATCATCGCCGTGCAGGAACAGCCCCTCATGCTCCACTGCCAGGTGGTGGGCATCCCCCCAGTGACCACACAGTGGAGGCACAACGGCCTCCTCCTAACTCAGGACCAGCATCACACCACCTTCATCAACGGCTCGCTCCTCATCGCTCACTTCCAGAAGACCAAATCCGACGGCTCATCTGATGAGGGCGACTACGAGTGCGTGGCCCAGAATTCTTTCGGGCTGGTGGTGAGCCGCAAGGCCCGCATTCAGGCAGCCAGTAAGTCTCCCTTCAGTCTTTGTGTAGTTTGAGGGCAAACGAAGTGAGTTCATCTCCATGCAGTCAATGTGAACCTAAGTGGGTTGAATTCAGGTGTTCTTTTTTAAGCTCTACATGTTGGTCACGTGATTAATAATCATACATTTCATTTGTTTGATACCACAAATAATAAAACAGCAAAAGTTCAGCTTACATTGGGCTTGACATGCATAGAATGACCTTATTACAGCGAACTCATCTAAACAAATGTGTTTTGAAGTGTACAATGGAGTCCAGCTGACGGATGTGTAGCAGTAATGAGATCCAGAGAACAGCTGAAGGCTCATACAGCTAGCATGGCTGACATCAGCCTGGAACCGCTCGGCCGTGGCTGTGATTGTTGTCTTTGTCACTGGACTCTTGCTTGAGCCTGACCACGTCGCCAGAATGTGAAGACATCGTAGCTGAACAAGTTGAACCACATCTACAGCCACTTAGGTTCTTCTCAGATGTAAACACTGTAATTGAAATACTGTGATCAGTAATCACACTGTGGTCCAGTCCGAGTCATCGGCGCGCCGCTGTGCAAGGAAACGTACTGAGCGTGTCCCCGGCTGTTGCTTCATTTGAATATTTTAATATAATTCTTTGAGCGTAATGAACTTTCTGATGCTCATCTACAGCTTAGAAATGGAAGCCTTTGAATTTAGCATTAACAGGCGCTCATGCTGGGAGTCTCCGAGCTGCTTTGTAAAAGTGCAGTAAGCTCGAAGCAACCCAGCAACCCACTCACTGGTCAGGGAGTCGAGATGCATTTTCTCTGCTTGACTACCAGGTCTTTAATTTGAAGTCGATCTCGTTCAACAGTAAGTCTGCAGCGACGTTGCCATGGTTCATGATTTCTACCATGACGCGGTGAGACAGTCGGACTCTCTGCCCTCCTCTCCTGCCTCTTGTCCCGTGCATGTCTCAACTTACTTTAAATCAACGGCTTCAAGGATGCACGCTCCTCCACTGATACGGTGCTGCTCCACACTGTGCTGACTGAAGGCTTCTGAAGCCACTGTTATGTATATTCTTTAACACCGAGACGGACAAAGGCTCACAGAAGCCTGTTGATTCCTGGGCTATGTGTAGACAGCATACTGCTGTGCTGTTGTGGCCGATACAGCTTTTCCACTCAGTGGGGTGGGAGGTTAGCATGGACGTCTCACTGGCCGAAGGGAAAAGTCACTTCTGCTCAGTGGCTGGCGCTGTCAAGCACACGCAACCTTTTAAGGCCTCCCCAAAGGCTCTTTCTTCTCAAAGGTTGAGACTGAATCTCTTCTATCGTGGCACATTTTTTGATTCTGCATGAGGTAAACGTCAGCAGCATGATGGCCTGTTTGTGCCGTGGTTTTTACACAATTACTTTGACATAGTGGGAAAAAGCACGAAGAAAACTGGAACGCAAAGAAAACAATCGAATTCTAATTTCCAGTTTATTATGTGCAGCTTCCACATCTGGCAGCAGGTTCTGGATTTTCTTGAAATCGGGTCTCAAATATAACAAAACATTATACTGAGAATAACAGGAGTCTAAACTCCGACTGTTATCTTCTGATCTTCCTTAAGAACCAGTTTGATGGGAATAAACGTTTCCTGTGAGGAGTCATCCTGCCGTCTGGTTTCTCTCCACTTTGCTCCACATTCAAACCACTGAACACCTTCACTCAACAACCAGCGCTGCCAGCAGTGGCTGCAAAGCAGATAAAGACGAGTATTTTTAATTGTTTGCAATCTAATGTCACGCTTTAGTTTCTGGAGTGTAATATTTAGTGGATTCATCTTTTAGGGTTCAGTCATGTTTTAGCCTGAAATATAAAGACTTAGCGTTGAGCGGTTCTGTCTCGCTCCGGTTCTGAAGAATTCAATGAATGAATCCAGATTTAATGAATGAACAGTGAATGGACGTAACCTGCAGGATACCTTCGACTTGGTGGCTCGAGTTCACAACCATTCACGCTTGAATTATCTCCTTTTGGCTGCGCTCTGCTCTCCTGCAGACCTTTTCCAGCGTTCTCCTTTCAGCTCGTATTGATTAGAGACGGACCGGAGGATTGCTGAAAGTCACATTCTGGCCCCGACCTTGGACCTGTTTGTTTGTGTGGAGCAGTCTCTGGGCAAAGGTGGTGAATGAGGAAAGTGTTGTGATGATACCGTGTCTGTCGTCTCGACAAGAAGCTGATGACGGTTTGGATTCAAAGGGACTCCCAGGACTGGAAGGTCCGACCGTACAGCGCCGCTGTGTTGTTCATCGCTGCCCGCTGACCCGGTCCGTGTTTTGGAGTAGTTGCAGTAGAACAGAGATGTTGTTTTTTCACTGGTTTGGTTTGATTGTTTTTTGATGGAGTCAGATTAAAGAGGCTTCCACTGCTTTGTTGTGGAAACGGACTTCCAGTCTGAGCCACAGGTCCGGTGTTCTCCCTGTTGTGTCACATGAAGCCAACTCATTAAACTCTCTGCCGGTGGTGTTTCTGGTACATCATGATTTGTATTTTGCGGTGTGAATCCGGTAGCTGTCCATCAGCGGCCAACGTGTGGCGCTCCTCTGAGGCGCCGGTTCAGTCCAGAAGTGTTCCTCTGCCCATGCTTTAATCTGATGGACTTTTATGTTTTAGGTCTTTAATATAAAGTCTAATGTTTGAGATTAGCTCTATGCTACGGGGTTTGGACCTTCACTCGTCTGGTGGGTCCTCAGCGGGCCCACCACAGCTCAGCACCGAGCATCACTTACTTCATTTTGTTTATGAAGAGAAATGGCCCGAAACAAGTCAAGGCGCTTCTTACAAAGGTCACTGACTCGTGTTTGTTTCTTTTTCTGTTCCGAGTGTTTGCTCATGTCGATGCTCTCTTTGTGTTTTGGAGGTAATTTGCTGTGTTATAGTCTCCTCACAACAGAGCTCTGACTTGTACCACTGTGATGCAATGGGTGGTGTGATTACTGAAGCCTCTTTATAGCCCTCCCAGTGGATAAAGCCTCCATCTTACCCTCCACACTACCACCCTCCATAAATTTCACTTTTTATTTGCTTGACAACCATTTGTGTGAGCTCCCTGTCGGGGGCTGGTGTAGGACGGACTCCCCGTCGGCCCTCTAAATCGCCAGTCGGTTCAGGAAACTCTCTTTTCCACCCAAATGTTATCTCTTTGATGGTCCGTTTCTCCCTCTCTCTTTCCTCACTTTCTCTAGGACCTCCTCATTAGCTTAGGTTCAGGAAGCTTTTCATCATTTGGATGAATGACAAGCCGGGTACAGTGGACCGGGCCAGGGCTCCCGCCCCTCCCCCACAGCACACCCGGCGTCACCAGGCAACACACCACAAAAGACCCCTGTTAGGGAAAAAAATAGCTTTTAGGATCAATTGAAATGACTTGCTTTTGTCTGTTTGTGTGGAATTAATTGGAAAGAGTTGAAGCTTCGTTAGGAAATATTTTTCCCCTCCTGTCCCATTCATATGGGGGGACTGCGGCTGACCTCGGGGGACCGTTTGAAAAGATTTGCAAACACAACACAAAGTGAGAAAATGCGAAGTCAGTGCAAACATGACGAGAGGGAAAACACAACCGGTAAAGAAAACACAATAAATGCGAGCATACAAACAGTATTATGCACGTTATTTATTTTATTGCTCCTTATTCATCATTCCAGCCTCGTTTAATTCAGAACCCGTCCCAGTGAACTGCTCGGCTGTTCTAATGGCAGCCTTCTGAATGAGACTTTAATGAAAAAGAAGCACCCAGGGGGCTGTAAAGGATGAAATCTGAGAAGACAGAGGATGCCTGTAAAAGTGGCTCAGTTTATACCCCTGCCTCTCGTTTGTGCGAACGTGATTCCTCACTGGGACGTAAATGTAGAGGAGCGCTGTGCCAGAAGATGCACCGGTGCTACTTTTAAAAGCTGCGAGGACGTCTGGCCGCGTGCAGCTCGTCGGATTCAGACGGCGGTTAGCGAGAGTGATTTATGTGCTGGTGTTAGTCTGCGTGAGAGTGCTTGTACGTGTGCGTGCACTTGTGTTTGGACGGTGGCTCTCCATCACATGCCGACCTTCCCGTCCCCACCCCTTTCATGGCCTCCTGCCTGGCTGAATGCTGAAGCTCCATCCCTACATCTCCTTGTAGCTCCTTTGTCTGTGAGCCAAACCCCGCCCTCCATCTGCCCCCCACCACCACCTCCACCTCCCCTGTGCTCGCTTTGCCACGAAGGCAAGTCATCTCTCTCGTGTCATATTGATTAGTCATATATGGTTTTGACATTTAAACATGAAGCCTGTTTTCTTTCCGTCCTGGCAAAATGAAATTTAGTTCATGGAAATAATTTACTGTGTGTTTGACCCGGGAGCAGAACCAACTTGGTGTGTTGTGATTGTTGAGGAAAGGTCATGTGCTTTTGCTGTTTTATCCCAGAGAGTGGCCGCCGTATTCCTCCAGCGCACAGCGTTCCTCTCATTTAAATTCCTGTCCCGAAAACATCACAAAGTATTAGTGCGCGTGGACCCGGCCTGTGACTGGCCCGGCTCTTGCTTTGGGCAGGTATGTGGGCTGATGTTAACCCAAAGCGCTGCTCCTGCTGTGTGGTCAGCGCCCCTCCATCTGTCTGGCAGCGCGTCAGACGGATTGAAAAAGAAAGAGCTTTTTTTTCCTCCTTCTCCTGTTCTGACAGGGCGGGCTGAAGGGATGAGAGCTCTGACCTCTGCTGTGTAATTACACTAGAAACCGGTTATTACTGTACACCTGCAGAATACGTTCTCAGATCTCATTGCCTGATTACGCATGCTCCCTTTGAGTTGATTTAGAAATGGCCACAGTGAATAGATTTCATTTCCTACTCGGGTGGCTGCAAACAGGGAAAGGCAAGGGTAAACAAGTGTCTCCTTCACTTTCCCTTTACCGCCTAAATAGACACGGTTTGTCCTCTACGGCTTGTTTTGTTGTCAGGGAGCTGAATAAATAGCAATGCTGAAAACCCCTAATGACAACTC